GAAGAGAGAAGGAGACCAAGAGATGCTGAGAATGTCGAACTGAATAGCCCAGTCGACAGTACTATTATTTATATTAGAGTATAGTACAATGTTACAGAAAAAGACTGGAATGCCCCTGATTAGTGATGGGACACCCAGACAACTTAAAACACTAAACAAGCTTAGGCCCATTAACACAAGCCCAGTACATAATAACTTAAACTCAAATACAGGCTATAAGAATTTTTATCAGCCGAACCATCAATACATAAAAAACCTTCAACCTAACATGAGTCACACAGCTTTAATCACATTTAAATTGTCTCACACAGTTTTCTCATTGGATAGGTTGTCAAATAAACTTATATAGTATCAAACTCGGGTTTTAGCAAGGAGCTTAACCTTATAATTTAATCTATGATGGTCTTGTTAAATATGTCTTGAGACTGAGGGCTGTTACATTATTTCCAAGAGAAATGGTTGATATCTGATACTTCTTGTTTTCATCAGTTCAGAAAATTTATTCATAATAAAGGAACATGTTTCATTTTTTTTGGTTATTACCATCCTTCTTTTTACAATCCTTGGAAAATACTATTGCAGGGAGGTTGTCAAGTCTTTCATTCAAGGTTTTCTTTCTGGAATTGCATTGAAAATATTCCTTCTTGTACTCCCAAATATACTGATGACCATGTCCAAGATAGAAGGTCATACATCTCTGTCATCTTTGGAGAGGAGGTCAGCTGGGAAGTATCACCTATTCGTACTTGTGAACATATTTCTTGGGAGCGTAATCACAGGAACCGCTTTTCAACAGCTCTATCAGTTTATCAACCAACCTCCACATGAGTAAGCTACGGTTATCCTTTATCAACAAGAAATCCTCTCCTTGCTAACACACTCAGAGAGAATTACTAAAGCTTTTTAAGGATGTTGCTCTGTATGAACTATTGTTGGAAACTGGAGTATGTTAATTTTAAAAGCAGCAATTGTCTTTGATACATCTAGATCGAATGCATCATGGGTAATATGTATTTCATAATAACATAATAGGAATCAGGGATCTTGTTCAGTTCTTGCAAGCATTCTTCTAATTTTTATGAAATTCTAATATGAGAAATTGGATTTTTTGCAGAATTCCAAAAACAGTTGGTGTCACCATCCCTATGAAAGCCACATTCTTTATTACTTATGTAATGGTTGATGGTTGGGCTGGAATAGCTGCAGAGATTCTTAGATTGTTTCCATTAATTGTATTCCACCTAAAGAATACATTCTTAGTGAAGACAGATGAAGAAAGAGAAGAAGCAATGGATGCTGGGAGCATAGATTTTGCTTCATTTGAACCTCAGATACAATTATACTTCTTGCTTGGCTTTGTCTATTCAGTAGTGACACCTGTCATTCTCCCTTTCATTGTCATCTTCTTTGCTCTGTCCTATGTGGTTTTTCGTCATCAGGTATGTTAGCTGGTGGAGTTCATTGATAAAGTTCCTTGAAAGCACTGACTCATGTGAAATACATGGAAAATAATTCATAGTTGAAGGAATTTCCTATGGTATTTTCTGTGTTTGTGAGCTACAGTATTTTAGAGTTACATGAAAGGTAACTCTAAAATACTATAGCCCACAGCCCCATTATTTTAACTATTTTCGGTGAATTTCTTTAACAATCAAGATGGTTAAGGCTAAAGTGTCATTTTCTCTTCATTTCATTTTTCTTCTCTTTTCTTACAAGTGGAAACTGGACATCTAATTTATAGCTTCAATTCTCATATTGTTTTTCTTTTTTGTCATACTTGGGGTTTGGATCTATTAGTAACAAACAATGCTAAGTACATCATATTTTTGTACCACCTGTCCTCAACACTTGATAGGTTCTTTTTTGGGTAAATTTCAACACTTAAGAGATATTTTGGGGTAAATTTCAACACTTGAGAGATTTTTTTGGGTAAATTTCAACACTTGGGAGTTTTCAAAAATCTGTGAAGAAATTCATATTGCTCATTTGTTGAGGGCATGTGGTAAACTATGTTGTGCTTACCATTGTTTGTTACTGGTAGATCCATAGTCTCATACTTATGGATCTATTCGTTATCCAATTTCTGAAGAGAATTTCTAGGCAAAAGCTTCTTTCTGCTAAATTCGAATGAAAACAAATTAGGGAAGTCAGAGAAATCCTATGAAACTTATAAGCACCAATTCTTCTTTTTATGGCAGTAATTTATAAGGACCAATTCTCCAATTCTACCTAGTTTGGAAACATATAAAACTCCCATTTTAATGCTCAAATCTTGCATTTGACTTTCATATTTTTCCAAAATTTTTCTTCATAAGGAGAGGTGGTTGTCAAGAGTATATATTTGGCAGAAATAATGTATATAACTTGAGACTCTTAGATTGTATTATTTTATTTTCTTCAGCATATGATAATGGCTTAAATAAATTAAACGGAGCTCTGTACTTGCTCCATTCCCCCTTCTCTATTTTGTGTTTTTTTTTCCTTCTTTTCTTTCAATAAACCAATCATCATTGGTTTGTTTCCAAAAATGTTTCCCACTCTTAGTTGGACATGTTATCCATGCTTCTTATAACAATACTACTTTAAATTATCCTTTTCTTAAAAGTATCCACTTAAATCTCCACCCCCCACCAATTAATACCTCTGGTTGATGTTGCACCTCCCCCTCTAACCCATAACATCCTACATCCCTATAATCTTCCCTCTATTTATTCTTACTTTTTCTCTTCTCCTCACTTTTCTCCTATTAAGTATCTGTTAAACAAATATTCACCACTAATCTCTTTATGGTACAATTAAGCATACAATTAATTAATAATAAATCATATAAATAAAAATCAATTATGATATATTAATTAATAATAGATTAACTAAAACGTTATAATATTATTAATTTAAGTTAAAAATTAACTATTAATAAATTATAGTAATATTTGATTAGATTAGGGGCATAATTTTCAAGGCATCAAGGCGAAGCTAGGTCATAGGGGCACCTTGCCACCTAGTCGCCGAGGTGACGAGATTTTTAAAGTAAAAAATATAAATCCTAGGGTAGATCCCTAGGTTTCATAGTAATAAGTAGTGATCTTTAACTAATAATCACCATAATTCTCATGAAATAAGTATCCCTAGAAGAAACCTCTCCGGATATTGAAGACATCTTGACTGCAGCCCCTGTGTTGATGATACTGATTAAGACTAGCCGAAGCAGTTCTGAAGCAGGTTCTGGCTAGCCGAAGTGATCACAGCAGGTTCTGACTAGCCGAAGTGATCACAGCCGGTTCTGAAGCAGTTCTGAAGTAGGTTCTAACTAGCCGAAGTGATCACAGCAGGTTCTGACAGCTCGCAACACAGTTTCAAACTTGCCAAGACTGTCCCAGTTCTGAAGCAGTTCAGTTACGGCAGCAAATGAGGTGTTCTGGGCTGGTAACCGACCTGAAACTGAGGGCTCTCCACTACTGTGCTATGCAGACTCCACTTGAGCTTCGAGCACTGCAACTATAAAGAAAGTTCCCCTCCTTACGGCCAATACTGGGACTGCTGAAATCAGTCCTCAACTAGGTCTGTCCTATACAGACCTCTCTTAGCAGCCGAATCGCTGCTAACTACTAGAAACAGTCTAGTAGGACATCAGCTTCTGGGTCTTACTTCCTTTGCGCCCTACTACCAAGGGAAACCCTAGGTTCGAACCTTGTGTTGTTCTCCTACAACCCTAGGGTTTCACAGCAGCAACCCAGACAAAAAAAAAAAAAAGAGAAGAAAGACAGCAAGAGAGAGGAGATGGGGTCGGCTGTAACCAGGAAGGTGCTCAATGCTCTGATACCATGAAGGCTGAAATGCTGTAGCCGAAGTAGCAGAAGAGAGAAGAAGAGCAAGAGATGCTGAGAATGTCGAACTGAACTACCCWGTCGACAGTACTGTTATTTATAGTATTACAGTACAATGTTACAGGAAATGTCTGAAATGCCCCTGATTAGTGATGGGACACCCAGACTACTTAAAACAGCAAATAAACTTAAGCCCATTAACACAGGCCCAGTACATAACAACTAAAACACAAATACAGACTAATAAGGACACTTTGCAGCTGAATCATCAATACATAAAACCCTTCAACCTAACAATCTGCACCCTTTGTTTCTATTTTGTATGATTTTGACTCATTGAATGCTTTGTCATCAATTGCCGAGAAAGATCTTCTCGTCTTCTTTTGCAAGCAAGTTTGTGGTTCAGTACCTGCGTCTATGACCCCCCTTCCTCCTGGTTCGGATCCTTCACCCATCTCAAATAAACCTATAAGTGACATTCCTGTCCTCTTGTTCCCTTACGTCATTCTACCCGTATATGTAGACCACCTGACCGCTATGGTTTTCCTTTAGACCATAGCTCCTTTTACGTTGTTTTGTCTTCCACAGATATTCCCCTCTCATACCAATAGGCCATTAGCAGCCCTCGATGGAGAGATGCCATGGATGCAGAAATTCAAGCTTTGCACAAGAACGACACTTGGGACCTAGTTCCAGCACCTTCAGATGGCTTTGTTATTGGGAGCAAATGGGTCTACTCCATCAAGTTGAAATCTGATGGGTCTCTGGACCGATATAAAGCTCGACTCCTGGCCCAGGAGTATACGCAGGAGTATGGCATCGATTATGAGGAGACATTTGCCCCAATGGCCAAGATCACTACAATCCGTGTTCTCTTAGCCCTCTCTGCTAAACACTCTTGGACTATCTTTCAACTAGATGTGAAAAATGGTTTTCTACATGGGCACCTAAAAGAGATTGTATATATGAAACCTCCACCAGGGTACTGTAGAGATCCCTCCCTCGTCTGCCAGTTGAAGAAATCTCTCTATGGGCTAAAGCAAGCTCCTCAAGCTTGGTTTGAAAATTTCAGAGATGTTGTGTAAGCCGGGTATAACCAGAGTGCTTCCAATTACTCTGTCTTTGTGTAGAAAAGGCCCCAATTATTATGATTCTCCTCCTGTATGTGGATGACATGTTGACTAGAGATGATATTGAAGGAATTCAAGAGCTCAAGTCTCTTCTTCACAATTCCTTTCACATGAAGGATTTAGGCCCTCTTACCTATTTTGGGGCTTGAAGTTCAAAGGAATTCCCGATGATATTTCATTTTCCAACACAAGTATGCCTCTGATCTTGTCTAGTTGGCCAGTCTTACCGACGATAAACGGGTAGACACTCCCTTGGAGCTGAATGTCAAATTGTCCAAGTCAGAAGGTCCCTTGCTTCCTGATGCCTCCCTTTATCGACAAATTGTGGGATCTCTCATCTATCTCACCATGACTTATCCTGGCATTTCACATGGGTGATTCTCTAATCTCATGGAAATGCAAGAAACAACAAACTATTTCCAAGTCCTCTACGGAAGCAGAGTATAGGGCAATGTCATCTGTTTGTAGCAAAATTGTTTGGCTTCAATTTTTATTTTAGGAATTAGGTCATTCCTCTCCCACCTATCCCTCTGTATGTAGATGTTAACAGTTGTTTATGTTCTCAGGTTTAGTACCGCAAGGGTACTATTGTAATTTTCTCTTGTCTTTATGTTGTACGACTGGGTCAGTATAAATAATAATACTAACTCTCGCCCACTGAGTTAAGGAGGGCTCTCAGTCCACTTGAATCTCCTCTCTTCTCTCCCTCTCTATTCTCCTCTCCTCTCTTCTCTTCTCTAGTTCTTGCTCAACATGGTATCAGAGCAAGTCGTCCAGGCCTGAAGGGTGGTGTCAAGCAAACCTGTTGTTCAATGTCGAGCAGATGGTCTTCTTCATCTTCTAGTCCAGAAGTTATAGAGACTCTTCATCTCCCAGAGCTGGCTCCATCGAACTGCTAATCTGGAGTACTCAGTTCGACCCAGAAGTCATAGAGACCTTTCATCTTCTAGAGTTGGCTCC